AGTAGCTGCTAATGAAATCTACTACAAAGAAATATATAATTATAAAAAGCAGCAAAAGAAAACTGGTGGAGTGCCACCCCCTGATTTATAGCATTACCTCCCAATGCAACCCATTTAATCCAACCGTTAGATGTGGCCTTTTTCAGACCCAGTAACTGGAGACAAATTTTGCACGAGTGGAAAGACACTGTATTTGGGAATCGAGTGGAACCATACCCAAAGCTGGCAAGCTTTGTTGAAAAAATGAATGACAAAACCGTAGAAGTTTTGCCCACTGGATTCAAAAAGTGTGGGTTGCACCCTTTAAACCGTGCAGAAGTGCTTAGTCGCATGCCACAAGAAGTTTTAAACCGAGCGAAGCCGTAATAGATGCCTTGGGTGAAAGTTTCATGGAACAGTTACAGAGAAAACGTGACACAACATCTGCCTTACGTCAACGTCAAAAGCGAAAAATGGTAAATGTAGCTCCTGGTAAAAGTATAAGCGCAGCGAGTAGGGTATTTTTACCGTTTTTGTCTCCCCCTCCACTTTCTGGCTTGGGATGACCTTGAGGCCGAAGGCCGATGACGATGGTGTATGGATGACCTTGAGGCTGAAAGCCGAAGAAGATGACGTAAGTTGGTGACTTTCATTTGACCTTTGCATTGCAGTTAACCTTGAAATTAAATTTGAAATATGTCTATCGGTGTGGATAAGTATCTCGAGGGTGTGGTGACCTTGAGCTAGTTCAAAAGACGAAAAATTATCACATTATGTAACGCAATTCGCTTGATATACTTTTAAACAATGCATTTAACCTTGAAATTAAATAGTTGTTTTAATGTTGTGTATACAATGGCATTGTGACGTGGTGCACTTGAATTGCAGTGTATTTTCTATATCAAAGTGAAGAATTACATTTCGTTGTGTGCCAACCCTGCAGTGAGCGTCTACAATAGTGTAAATTTTGTGTCAAAAATTTTTGAAGTGAGAACAATTATTGTATTTATTGCTGACTAGATATTACAGGGAATTATAATATAAAAATGGCATTATCAATTGATGAATTAAATAAAATAAATAGTAATATTAATGGTGAATTCAACGATATTATGCGAAGGTCAGTTTCCTCGTTGGAAATTGATACACAATATCCGATAAAAAAACTATCTTTTGTCAATACACGTTTTGGAAAGTCCATTTTAGCTATATTGTTTGATGAAAAGTATAATTTAAATTTCAAGTGTTTTTTACCAAAGAGGGTTACAGAACACATAACAGAAGATATTTTGAATAAAATGAATTCCTCTTGGGAACATTACACGATAACTTATTTAGGTCAAAGTGAGCCTGTATTTAAAGATGGTAAATGTAAAGCGTTGTTAAAATTTGGAATTGTCATTTAATTTTTGTATATTTAATTTAAATAAAAAAATATATATCTAGTAGTAACAAATATGTTTTATATATAGAGTATATTCTAGTCAATATAAGTAATTTACACTATTTAGTCAGTATAATAATATAAGGTGGCTTCTCTGTTAATGTTTTATAATTCCAATAGGTAATAAATAATTTTTTAATCTTATTACTATAATACCCGTTTTCATATCATTTTTTTTTATTTATAGAACAACTATTGAAAATGTGGATGCATTATGCTAGTCAAAATTGGACCGATGCTGAGGACCTCCAGTCAGCCGTAAAGAGATTGATGAACGAGCTAGATTGTGTGGCAATAGATAGTCTTCACGCATCTAATTATTATAAATTAAACAGTTGGAGGAGGATTATGAAAAACATCGCCGTGGTGCATCATTATGTAGTGATTATTTATGTGAAACTATAAATTTGGACAATTTTTGTGTGAAAATGGTGGAGATAGGACTAAAACAATTTGTTATTTCTAATTTGTTGGATTATCTACCATATGCAGCTGTAGTAAAATACAAATTAGCAGCTCAAGAAAATAATGCTGGTAATGAAGATGATAATCAACCTTTCCTTTAATTTTTATGTAATTTATATATTATCTTAAAATTGTATAATATTATATATCTAATATTAACAAATTTTATTGTATTAACTATTTGTCTCTTATTGTAATGTGGTATAAATAACATAAATATAAATATTTTTAAACTTTTAATTGTTGTCTTATTTGTTAAATGAGTAGAGAAAAAAAATGATACATGAGGAGGTGACCTTCAGTTGACATATTTAAATGCTATTTTTAAATATTTCATTATGGTGTGACCATGAGTGAGCTCTAAGTTCATAAGTTTGTAACGAATTTATATAATTCAAGATGTATAAAAGAGAAAAGAAATATATATATATTAAAATAATAGTCAACGTATAGTTCTGCAAAATGTGTGTAATTAATAAAGCAAAATAAATAAGTAACTATTACAATTCCTAAAATATTCTGCAGCCCTCGTATGCTGCCTTCGTATACATAGTCATCTACTTAATGGATGAAAGAATAACTAACGAAACGATCAATAAAATAGCCACGCCTACTTAAAATGTCCGTTAAAATAAAATTCAAATATTTCTATATATAATATAACCTTCAAACGACATTAGAAGCGATCGATATTTTATAAAACACGCCTACACGAGAGAATTTCAAATATTTCACGATTGTGGCCTTGAGCGAATACCAATGTCCCGCTAATCAACGAACGAACCCAAATAATCAATGAGAGGAAAAACGCGCGAAAAAGTACATGCTGTTTGATTTAACTTAACCTTGAAACCACATGTACTTCGGCACCAAAACAAAATTTAAATATGTCGTCTTGTTCTATAACTTTACCTTCAAGCGAAACGATCAATACTTATTTATATACATAGCTTAACCTTGAACAGACTGCGATCGATATCACGCCTACGTTTGGCGCTAAAATAAAATTTAAATATGTTGCTGTTGACAGCGTTTTGTTATATAAGTTGACCTTCAAGCGAAACGATCAATACTTTTGGTCACGCCTACTTCGATTCGAGTTAAATAATTCAAATATTTCAAGGTGGCCTTGAGCTAGCTCTAAGTAAAATATATGCACATTAATTTTTGTTTTGTGTGTAAAAACGAAAAAATATCACATCGTGTGATGACATTCACTTGATTTACATTTAAAACATTACAGTTAACCTTGAAATTATATATGTGTACTATGAATTAGGACATTCATTTGAAATATATCTATTTATATAAATGCATTTTTGCGCTCAAAATAAATTTAAAAATATCGCACCAACAACAAATTTGCTGGTGTTTTAAAAACGTTGCAGTTAACCTTGAAATTACATTTGTTTGGCGCGAATGATACAGCATGTTATATGACCTTCATTTGAAATATATTCAGTTAAATGTTACAGATAAACATTGCTTGAGAATGTCACCTTGAGAATTTGGCTTTGATATTGGTGTGATTACTTCGAAATTATTTGATACATAAAACAATATTGTAATTACTTATATGCAGTAAATATATTTTTTATTAAACATTTATATTTTTCCAGTTACCACAATCCGAAATTTATGTATATAAAAATAAAACTCATCATATTTGTTGTTTGTTTTTATTATAACTTCAGTAATACAAATTTTATTACAATAATTCATTACAAAAAACCATTCACAAAAAAAAACAATATGATTTTGATTTACGCGTCATTACATATAAGTTTTTAGAATGTATACAATATTTTATGCTGTACTACATAATAAAACTTTTTACAGTGCTATTACATATAATGCTAATATTGTTTACGGAGATTTTAATTCAATGTTTCTCACATGCAGCCCGGCAAATAAATTTGCGCCTTCTGCATTGGAAAAATCAAGTCTACAAGTACCAGTTATGGGTTATTGTTAAAATAATTTTAAAAGTAGCTGGTACATGAATTTCCAAAGAAGATGGCGTAGGGTGGTGATTTTCATTTGACCTTTGCATTGCAGTTAACCTCGAAATTAGATTTGTATGGTGTCTGAGAGATGTGGAATTTTATACTTGAGGCCGAAGGCCGATGACGTTGGTGTATGGATGACCTTGAGGCTGAAAGCCGAAAGTGACGTAGGTTGGTGACTTTCATTTGACCTCTGCATTGCAGTTAACCTCGAAATTAGATTTGTATGGTATGTGAGAGAGGAGGTATTTTATATGAGATGACCTTAATTGAAATATGTCTATTTAAATGCATTTTGGCGCGCAAACCAAATTTAAATATATCGCAATTTACAATATGTAGTTAATAAATGTTTTTACCATAACGATTTTGATTAATGCGTTATTACATTATAAGTTTTTAGAATGTATGCAATATTTTGCATGAAACCCTTGTCATACAACTTAACCACGAAATAACATTGAGGAAGAATATTACATGATACATGAGGAGGTGACCTTCAGTTGACATATTTAAATGCTATATTTAAATATTTCATTATGATGCAACCATGAGTGAGCTCTAAGTTCATAAGTTTGTAAGATGTATAAAAGAGAAAAGAAATACATATATGTATTAAAATAATAGTCAATATATAGTTCTGCAAAGTGTGTGTAATTAATAATGCATAAATAAGTAACTATTACAATTCCTAAAATATTCTGCTGCCCTCGTATGCTGCCCTCGCATACATAAGTCATCTATTTAACGGATGAAAGAATAACTAACGAAACGATCAATAAAATAGCCACGCCTATTTCGGCGGGTAAAATAAAATTCAAATATTTACATGCATAGCTTAACCTTGAACAGGCTACGATCGATATTTATATCACGCCCAGTTTTGGCGCCAAAACAAAAATTTAAATATACCTATCTAACGGTTATGCATATTATATTGCATAATAGTATAATAATTTTTGTTTCGTATGTAAAAACGAAAAAATATCACATGTAATAACATTTATTTGACATATGTATAGTTAAATATTTTTTTTTAAATCGAGAATAACATTTAATTATTTCATCATTTATTTCACTTTTTTATAATACAACTATTATTATAATTTAATCTTCAATTTTCTCCTACTCCACATTCTGCATGACGCGTACCAAAATACTCAACCACGCTTCTACGCGATCTGTAAAACACAAAGAAATTATTACAATTATTTTTTTTACATTTCAATCATTTTCATACCGTCCACACCATCCAACATCAAGCCATCAGATGCAGTCGACTGTGAACTATCCAGAGACTGTCCATCTGTAATTTTGCAAAAATAAATAAATAAATAAATATTTTTTGTAAACTTAACATATTTTCATACCATCGTTATCGCTCAAATCATCTGTTGATCTGGACATCCTCGGTGGTGTTGTTGACCCAGACCTCTTCGGAGACGTTGTGGAATCTGGTTCTTGATCGACACAATTTTCCATCTCTAAATCATACAACGTCACCGTGCTGTCACTCCACGATGACGACCATTTTCTAGCTGGGGCACTCCCCGTTTCATGAAACGGAAACGTTGTGGAATCTGCTTCTACTCTTTCAACGTAAGACGACAACACTCCTCTGTTTTCCATGTTGTCACTACAGTTTCTTTCAAGATACTACTTGATAAATTTTAAACCCATATATAGCTATATGTGGCTGACATTCATTTGACATATACATGTTATAGTTCCATTCGATCTGATATGTGTTGTAAACGACCTTGAATGACATTGAGGGATTATTAATTTCTTTTTGTATGATATACTTAATAAGGGTAATAAGGGGGTTTATATAGCTATATAAGGGTTTATCGAATTAGGAGGAGTTTATTATGTTTTAACATCTCAATTAGTGAATCAAAAGTATCAAAAAATGCCATTTTCGAACTAGTGGGATTCAAAAGTTAAAGTAATGGCGCTTCCTTTTCGTGTAAATGATTTATTTACATGTCACAACTGTTACGACATATGTAAAAAATAGAACATTAACGATTGTACGGGACATTGCCCGATGTGTGTTGCAAAAGATCAGATGTCTGTAGAAGTATCGGGAAGGATTAAATGTGAAAAGTGCCAGGAATTAAAATTCACAAATTTTGGTATTGTTAGGGACCGCTGTGAACGCTGTAGGATAGAAGATCACCCCCTGAGACAGCGTTGTGTTGTTTGTCAAACATATTCGCATGATTGTTGGGACAATGTATGTGCTGCAGATAGACATGGAACATTCCTATGTGAAAAAATGCGGGAATTTTTCACTATTGTCTTTGTCCACAAACAATTCTGTTGGTGTTTCACAAATCAACAGCAATTACTTCGAAATGATTTGATATGCAAAACAAGATTGTAATTATATATATTAAATATACTTTTTATTAAACACAGCATCGCATAACGAGGCCCAAACTAAACATCTCGAGAAAGTCCAGCATTTTCAAAGTCCAACATCTCAAAAGGATCTTCAGAAATTTCTGGCATTAGCTAATTGGTTGTGGGAATATGTCCCGAACTACTCCCGAATCGCAGTACCAATGACGAATCTTTTGGGGAAACGTAAGTTCAAATGGAGCCCAGAAGCAGAAGCCTTCCAATAATTGAAACAAGCCCTAATACAGCCACTAAAGTTACACAGACCCGAGTTTGAGAAAGAATTAATTTTGAAAACGGACGCTAGCGCCATTGGAATGGGGGCGGTCCTGTACCAAAAAGGTCCCGAAAAACAGAAATTAGTAATCTCATGTGCTGGTGCGAAATTTAGTAGGGCGGAGACCCGATACCATTGTAACGAGCAGGAGGTCCTGGCGGCCGTCTGGGCATGCAGGCGATACAGGCCCCTGCTTGAAAACCGAGAATTTGTGCTAAGAACCGATAGTCAGGCCCTGCTATAGCTCGACCGTTATAAAGAGGGAAGGGCTAAGTTAACCAGATACAAGAGTTCAATTTTCGGGTGGAACATTATCCAGGAAAGAATAACAATCTTCCGGATTTCTTGAGTCGGAATCCGTGTGAAGAAATAGCAGAACAGGTTGACGAAAAGAGAATTAGTCCCCCATCTCAAAATGTAGAGGTGCGAGACGTCCCGATGTCATTGAGTACTACCCGATTAGACGTGAAACCCGATATTAAGACTACTTCCCGAATACCGCCCGTTTTTCTCCAGGAAATGTCGTTAAATCAGATTGATGACTAAGCGCCACTACCATTATACGATCGTATTGTGAAGGCGCAAAAAGAGAGTCCGGAGTATAGGGAGACCCGAATTAGAATCCAAAGATTTCAAGCCGGGGAAGAAGAAGCGAACTTACCATGGGAAAAGACACTTAGGGATCAGTATATCATCCGGGACGGTTTGGTGTGGTACACTGGGGAAAAGGAAAATGAGTTACGATTGGTGGTGTCCGTTAACTTTTGGAGAGAGGTGATGTATAGATATCACGTTATCCAGAGGCGGGGCATCCGGGTCGAGATGAGACCATACGATCAGTTGCTGCGTTATACTACTGGCCTGCTATGAGGAAACAACGTACGTGCGGCATTGCCTTATCTGCGCCGCTACGAAGCATGGTGGAGCGTGGCAGGAGCGAGCACCATTGACGCCCCGATCCCCGCGAAGACCGTGGCAGGTGATAAGCATCGACATGATGGGTCCATATGAAATGATGACTAAAGGGAATAAATACTTATTGGTGCTCATGGATGTATGTTCAAAATGGACGGAGGCGGTACCAATACTGACTCCGAGAACCCTAATCAATTTTTGTGAGCAAGTGTTTCGACGATGGGGGTACCCTGAAATGGTGATTAGTGACAATGGGCCTACTTTCAAAAGTAATTTGTGGCATAGATATCTACAGCAGAAGTACATCCTCCAGTACTTCTCACCGGTGTACCACCAGCGGGCCAATCCGGTCGAAAGGAGGAACCAAGAGTTAAAGAAACTCCTCCGGATTGGCTGCCAGCGAACCGCAGAGAACCGGTGGGATGAACACGTAGACCTAGCTTTGGTGACATTGAGAAATCGGGTTAATTCAGCGACTGGGGTTAGTTCGAGTATAGCGCTATTGGGAGCGCCGATAACCCAACCGGGCGAGTGGGGACACCCGGGAGTTCGACGACCCGTCCAGAATAACCCAATTCAGAGAGAGGAGCGATTGAGAAACATTCAAAGGAGACAAGAGACTTAATCATGACAACTATCCCAGGAATGATCGGCTTAAAGTCCAATTCCAAGTAGGAGAGAAAGTGCCGACTCGGAACCCGACCGGAGTGCGAACACCGTTAGGACCTCCTTGAATTGGACCATATACCGTTGTTAAAGTCTGCGGACTGAATGTATATGAAGTAAACCGAGTCACATCACAAGTGCTGTTACATGTGGACGACCTGAGGCCTTGGCATGGGCGTCCTCAATTTGAAGAAAGAAATGAAGACCCAAGACATTTGCCAAGGGTTGAACCCGGACCAGAGCCCGAACGAGTGATGGGCCCAGTCAACAAGGGAGAAGAAAGTGGTACATCTGAATCGGATACTGACGATGAACTGGATTGCTTCGCCTACCCCGATTCGGATCCGGAAAACCCTCCCTTAAGACGGAGATATGAGTATCCATTGAGAGGTGTAAGGAGAAGAGCGCCGTCACCACGACCATCGGGGATACAACGTCCAAATTTACTAGGAGGACAGTTAAGAAAAGAGGAAGAAAACCAGCATGGTTCCCGAGATGAGGTTACTACTGGGAGAGAAGAAGAGGAGGCAGCTAAGATTCGGCAGGATGGAGGAGCTGTCCTTGAGCTACATCTGACAAGGAAAGTATGCTCCACTCCTCTTAATCCTGTTTTTAATGCTGGCCCCCTTGTTACAGATAAAAATAAAAATGGAGACCTGCCCATGAAGGACCAGGTGACCGTAGAAGATGTACATGAGGATGGGTATCCTGTGAAGCCTACGACGGCTGTGCCCATCGTAGGGCTGTACCCTTAGAACTATTGTATTGGTGTTTATGTGTATATATATATANTTTTGGATCAGTTCAGCAAGAACCAAAAAGAACGCTTTGATTTGATTGAATCACTACTGCATAAATCAAGTCAAGCCGACAGTGTAAATATATATATAGTTTAGTATTATGTAGAGATAGGTGGTAACACTCCTTGGTGATAAATAAACAGCACCCGCCGTCTACGGAAGGGGGTGGTGTCGTGGTCGCGAAGGCGGCCGCGGTTTTAGAAGAATGAGGGCTGAAAATCGTGGAGAAATAGTTTTGATAAACGTAGGGAATCAGAAACGGCCCGGATTGGCCGAGACGCCGTTTTGGGGCGTGGCTTGTAGAGTCGGGTCCAAATAAAAACGCAAAACGCGATTGATCAAGCAGTAATTTTTCGGAAGTCATAGGGTGCTGCACTTGGTTGATGTTTGGTCCTTTTGCTAGGAAAAAAGTCTAGCAATAATAGCGGAATTGCTCGAAAATTAGTTCTGGGAACGTTTGCACTGCTCGTACAAGTAAAGTACAGGTTAAATTTGGTACAAGTTAGACTCAAGGGCGATAATAGTGCCGAACAGTTTTATTTATAAACATTTTCATACAGTTAGATTTAGTGTATAGACAATTGGTAGCTAGTGGAGCGAGATAGTGATTCGCGAGGAAGACGTGTACATTTGTATAATCCGGATTACCTGCGAGTTTTGCCGGTCGAACCTGAAAAGGAAACAATTAGTGTATGGAGCAAACTTATCTGACAATATATGTGTTAACGTCATCCTGCGTTAAGTTGTGGCGATACCATCTTTATCGTTTGAAGTAGAGAAAAGTACCTGAAAGAAAGACAAAAGTAAATTCTTGTTGGATCAAATTTGGTTAAAAACTAACTAGTACAGCTAAGTCATATTTGGTAACCTTTATTTCATACTGAATGATAAAAAATAATTGGCCTAATTTGCTTAAAGTAAAACTGAGTGCGAACGATAGGACTGGACTTAACGGCGGGACCGCAAGCAGATCGTAGCCTTGTGGGTAAGTAGAAAGACTAAATTGTGTCCGTTGCACTGAACTGTGGAAAGTAAAGACTAGTAAGACTTTGAACTTAAATTCAGGGGGGGTTTTGGAACTATATGAACTATTTTGTGTATAACCCGGGAGATTTAGAGACAATTACGTTAAGCTTGAATCTTTAAGACTTGAATATCAAAAGGAATATCAGAGACAAATAACCTCTCGTGTTTTCAAAAGTCATTTACCTTAGGTGTAGGTCTAGTAACTTATAAACTCGCATATATTGCATGCTGCGAGCACATTCCTGTCTATATTGTATCTTTGAACTGTATCTAGCGTATTGTAAACATTGCAAACATGATATCAAGGGAGAGGCGTGCCGCATGCGCGCTTCAACCTGAGCCTGTTTTGGAAGAAGACCAAATGAAGGAGTCGTTAACCTCCACCTCCGAGTCGCTAGAGGGGGTGTTCAACGTACCGGTGGAAGGTGCGATGCCATCATATAGAAATCTAGGCGGAATGCGACCCAGTGTTATGTTCCCACACTCGTTAAATCCAGAGCATAACAATACATACAGTATAAGACCTAGAAACTTTCAAGCAGAATTCAGTGTAAATGTGTGGGTTGGAATTTATAAAAATAGTATATTTGGACCTTACATTTTACCAGACAGACTTGACGCCGTTACGTTTCTACAATTTTTGGAAACTAATCGTAATGATATGTGGGAGGAAGTATCACTTAATGAGAGAAGAAATGCATGGATACAATTGGATGGCTGCCCTGCACATTACGGACGTCAAGTTCGTAATTGGTTAGGAATTAGAAAATTATTAATCAGCGGAGTGCCCGGGCGGCGCGGCGCACGTCAAAATGTATATTGTTAATAGGTAAAATAATAGGCATTGCAATCTAATTACACCAAATAACTCCTCAGTATTTTGTCAAGGTATGTTTAAAGACTACTTTTAAATTTTAGTAACATCAAAAATTTTTTGTTATTGTCTTTGAGTCTTGAAAATTACCGTTTTTGCATTTTTTCGTACTTTAAATTGTTTATAACTTGGAAACCGTTGATTTTAGGAGCATAGTGCATAGGAACTATTCTATTTAGAATACCCCAAAACACCTTAAAAAACTTTTCCGGGGCAAAATAAGTTATTTTTGCAATTTGTTTAAAAAAATTGTGACCAGGTTACCGGCCGGTAACATTTTGATCCTCATTCAGGGACATCTCACGGAGGTGATTATGCAAAAAAATCTAATCCACTAATTTTTTCATACGAAGCC